ATGTAGCAGAATACATTTTGGCCTAAATTTATGACGAAATATGATTTTTACTGGATATATTTTTATAGCAAAAAGTAAAAAATATTGGGTTTTTATCAAAAATTTTAGGGTTTTATTTTTTTTTCGTTTATAGCACAAAAATAAAAAAACACAGAGGTGATCAAATACCACTGAAAGAAAGTTCTATTTGTTGGGAAAAAAAGAACATAAATTTCATTTATTCATTGCAGGACTGCACAATTAGCAGTTAAACTAGTGCAGCTCTGTATAGCAAAAAAATGGCATGAATTGCAGTATCTATACCAGGGGCGGACTGACAACTCATGGGGCCCCCGGGCAATAGGGGATCATGGGGCCCGTGTCCTTGCCCAAACTCAAAAAAGCCTATGAAAAAGGTACCAGGGGCTCCACATCATGGAGTTAGAGTGGACTGGGGTCATCCATAACTTCTCCAACTTCATCTAATGGTTGTAAGAATGCAAAGTGAGCTAGGAAGCTAATAGACGCAATTGAGCAGCTAGATAATATTTAGAAAGGTTGGAAAGGCTAGACCTCCTTGGCTCCATGGAGCATGTAGAACTGATCTCGCTACGTTCATTTTTAATTCCAAACAAAGTTAAACAATTTAATCTGAAGTTTTTAAAATGGGACATCAGAGTCAGAATGGGGAGGGTTTCATATAAATACAGCAGTTTTGGTAAACAGTCATTTTGACCACTGCAATGCGGCCAAGAAATGGGGAGGGACCTCCACTGGAGAAGTAGCTTGTCGATAGTATTATAAAGGTGAAGTAAGTTTTCCTTTACCCACCTTATAGGTGGTGTTAAGTTCACTTCCAAGTATTTCAATGCCTTGGTTTTCCAGAAGTAGGGTATTGTTTGAGATAGCTGCTGTAAGTCTAAGGGGGAGACATTCAGATTTGGAGTTATTCATTTTATACTCTGAGAGAGAACCAAATAAGTCCAATTCCTTGTGAAGTTTAGGAAGTGTTGTATGTAACTGGGTGAGTGATAAGAAACCATCATCAGCAAAGAGGGAGAGCTTGAACTCCTTACTGAGCACTGGGATACCATGAATATCAGGATTATTTTTAATGTGGGCTGCTAGGGGTTCAATTCATAGGGCAAACAGGAGAAAGGAAAGGGGACTACTATACATAGTGCTGTTCTGTATGGAAAAGGGAGGTGAAGTGGCAAATTGTGTTTTGATCAAAGCAATAGGATTGGAGATGTGTAGATTAGAAAGGGACCACTGATTCCAAGGTATCTGAGTGTGGTAAATAGAAATGGACAACTGAGCCTGTCAAAAGACTTCTCTGTATCAACTCTGTATCAAGGCTGAGGAACAGAGCCTCAAGTTTCTGCATTTTAGCTATCTCGATAAGGTCAACAAACCTTCTGGTGTTATCCCCCACTTGTCGAAAGGGGATAAAACCAACTTGGTCCTTGTGCATAATGGAAGGAAGAAGTTGATTAAGTCTATTTGCCAGCAACAGTGAAAATCTTTAAGTCCAAGTTCAGGGGTTCTACTTGCCTGTAGTTTGAGCATAAAGCGTGGTCTTTTATGGGTTTGGGGAGCTCCATGATAGAGTAGGATTGCATGTCACACAGAATGGGGGAGTCTTTAAGGAAACCATTAAATAATTTGAAGGAGAAGCATGGGAAGCATGGCTGTTGATTAGCTGTTAATTAGATCACTGTTAGCTGTTGGCAGTACTTTTTACAATTTGCACTGTTTAGGATAAAGTGATCAAGCTCTTACCTAATCAGTGTGGGATGTTTATCCCAATGTGTACTATTTGCTTTTATTGTTCATGTGGCGACTGCCCGTTTCTGAAGTGTATAAAAAACCTGTATTTCTGCTCAATAAAGGGGTTCCAGTTTTGCACATAAGCCAGTGTTATCTAGTCCTTGGGTGCAATGCCCAGCTATAATACCTTGATCCTGTGTCCCAGCGGCGAGGAAGCAATGCTCTGATGGAAGTTCCAAAAGGGGTGACAGGCGGTCCGTCAAAAGCATACACATTATGTTTGAAATGGAGAGCCCTTCTTAAAGGATTGGAGGCTTGGTAAATTTGGGAGAAACACTTGGTAGCAAACAACACAGTGCCAGACTCATCCAGATGTGTCTCTTAAAAAAATCAATATGTGCCGCAGATCACCTAAATCCCCTCAAGGTCAGGTGTCATTTATAGTTAGAGTTGAGACCTTTAACATTAAGAGAAAAGATATAAATCATGGTGGATACAGAACAGGGAGTGTAAAGTGTTTCTATTTATAAAGTGTATTCCATGTGCTGCAGATTTCTCCAGCAATTTCACCGCACGTCTTGTCCTTGAAACACAGCAGAAAAAGCAAAATGTGAGATGAATCCCCCTCTCAGACAGTTGTCAACACAACAGGTATCCTCATTTGAAGCTTTCTCCTCATCTCCTATTTGGTGACAGCTTAAGCCACTATACTCACCCAATGTCCAGTGCTATTCACCACAGACTCATGGAGCCAGTAATGTGGTGCTGCTCATCTTCCTGGTTGGGAAGGGACACAGCATCAGTCAGCCCACGTTTTTTAAGCCTAGGACATCAAGCCTTTGCCCTTTTGCCTGGGTGCTGCAGAGAGCCGCACATTATCAGTACTCTCATAAGCTCTCACTTTATCATCATTTTTTAAATTAAAACACTATTGTTCAAATTATCATTGAAATGTCTACAGATATTTAGCAAATTGGGCACAATGTAGTTGATTTACTATCATACACACATAGACTGTAATCAATGTTTTTTGGCTGGAAAAAAACCCCAGGAATAGTGGGTTTCTAGAGTAGTTTTTGGACTTTGCTTATTTATTGTATAGTAGCAATGGCAGAGATGAGTGTACTGCAATACGGTGTACAAAGATGATGGTTGCCGTCCATACCAGAAATGACAGCCACCACACTTCCATCCTACGCGTTGCGTCACAAGTCATATGACTTCCTCAGGGCTACTCATCTCTGTCATTACTACTATACATGCTTTTATGGGTCTGTGGACCCAGTTTTTAATGTGAGTAGGCACTTTGCTTATTTATTTAATAAAAACTTGTCTTACTACACTATGGGAAGTCAGTTTTGATTTAATTTTCCATGTCCATGGGAGAGGATTTTCTTGCCATATCCTGGAGGGGACATCTGAGCTATTTTTGGTCCACTTGTGGAGTGTTCATTTTCCCAATTTAAGAGGATTGCCCTGACAAGTATTGAGGGGATATACAGGGATATCATCGCTGAGCTTATTCATCCAAAGCCTGTGGGTCATAGCTGGAGGTGAGCGCGCACGCTAGCTGGTGGAAGATCTGTTTGCAGCAATCACTGTTTGATTCACAGTCCTGCAGAAGATACACATTTATTGGGACTTTGCTGTTTTTATCACTATATATATATATATAACATATCAATAATAATAAATCACTGAAGCATGAAATAAATTACCTACAAATAGTGACCAATATTCATATGTGAGCAAATAAATATATGCTGAATATATATATATATATATATATATATATATATATATTCAGCATATATTTATTTGCTCACATATGATTATTGGTCACTATTTGTAGGTCATTTATTTCATGCTTCAGTGATTTATTATTATTGATATGTCATTTATTGTCACATTGATTTACCTTCACCTTTCGTAATCACATTTGTGGGTTAGCACCTTTGTTATTATTGAGTAGCATAGCATCAGTTAGTAATATAATAATTGTTAAATTTTACATACACTTTAAAAATATGTATTATTTATTACATTTATAAATACAAGAAGTTTAAAGGAGAAGTTTGGGAGTAAAAAAAAAAAAAATTATATATACTCACCTCTATGCTGCAGCATAAAAAATTAGATGTTTTGATTGGAAAAATGCAGTCTTCTGATTGCTCAGTTCTCAGTCTGTGTGGAGCAGAAAGCGGTGATTGTCAAACTACCAAACAAACCACTCTCCAATCTGCTTTTTTTTAAAGAATAAAGATTAATTCAATTCAAAAGCTTTACAAAATATTGTTATGCCTGAGGCCTGTGCAGACCTTACTGAACATTAGTGCTACAAATCCAGCAGTTCTATGTGGTTAAAACAAGACCATGTACAGTCATTGTTCCTAAATGTATCACAGCTCATCTGGCTACTCATACATGGTGCTGTCTCAGCACAGAGTGTGTCATTCAACATGAAAAGGCTATGCATCTATAAGATGACTGCTGCCATAACAATATGTTCTCCAGTGATAAAAAGAGAAAGCAGGAGGCTGACAAACAATTCAATTAGCACCTGAAGTTTTGCTAAACTGAGATTGTGTACAGTAAGCTTAGTTTCTTGCCAAAATGGTTGTACACAAAAGTGACAAAATATAAGGCTTCACTCTCTTTGATAAAGAAAAAAGCTCTGTAATTTTGAAATTCCTTAATATGGTTTTACACCTTTTTATAGATATTTCCTGGGTTTCCAACTGGACCAGCTCCAGCTGCAACCATTGAGGGGAAATCCCAAGAACAGATTCAGAATACACTGTGGGGAATTTGTTTCGGCTGGCTTACACGTGACCTGATATTTCCTAGAAAGAGCTTATGGCTGTATCTGGGAAAATAGTAGTCTTGCTGCACCAACAACCCATGCTTGAACCATCAAGCTGAAGATGAGATCTGATGATGCAACTGTTACTTCTACACACTTCATACTACAACATATTGTGTGGTAATACGAAACAGAAACCTTTACATCTTTTTCCCATTTATATTTGTTTACCAATAATATAAATAAAAAACAAGACAAATAATATATTGATTACATGTCTTCAAAAAAAGATCTTGTGATGAATGATGTCTATAGTTAAAAAAAAATATTTTCTGTTGTGGCATGGTTCAAACTGTCAGATATGATAAATAAAGTATATGAATAATTCCGAGGATTTCCATAACTTCCAACAGTATTGTAGTGTTATTCCATATTTTTAAGGTTGCAGTCAGAAACCGTCTTCAGAGTTATCATCCCATCCACAGCTCTCCACTGCTCTGTCCTGGTTGAAATCCACTTCCACGTTGTACTCAAAGTCTGGGTCATCTTTCTTTTTCCTGTTTTTCTCAAAAATCTCATCCATTACGCTCTTTCTTTTGGCCAGTTCCTTGTCATCTAGTTTGTTCAGATCTTCATTAGGATCAATATTTTCCTCCTTTCGAATCCCATCCAGGCTAGCCTCCAAAGTCTCCCCCTTTAAATGTCCCCTAAGCAACTTATAAAGCCTTTCCAGCTGTTTCAGTGATATCTGCTCCAAGTACTGTTTGTGCCGTGGATTGTTCTTAAGCTGCTCTGCTGCTCGGCTGCAGTCTACAAAAAGAATAAGCCAACAAGATGAGCTGAGAATGTTTTACAATTAACCCAAATAAAATATGCCATAACTAGACTTCCCGAATTTTTTTTTAAATGTGGTCACCATCAGACATACAATATTTTATCATCCCATTGGAAAAACTCTTATAAATAGAACAATGAATTTATATGTGTTGATCTATTTATAATAAATAAATACAATGATGATGCATAAAGTGAGTATATAAATGTGGATACATAATTAAGGGGCTGCAAAACATGAACTAGTTTTTACTGAAGACTGGTCTATGTAAAAAAAAAAAAAAAAAGTTAACTTCAGGCAGTTTTTTAAAGTCCCCGTTTGATCCAGTTATGGATTTATAAAAAAAAAAAAACTAAAAAAAAAAAACAACAAGAACTTTGTTGATATCTGCCTTCTGTATTCTCCATACATAACAGGGGTGTGGAATTTAGAAAAAAAAAAAACCTACTTGTCCAAGGGACTAAATTGGGGTCCCAATCTACTTATCCCTCATGACAATCTACTTGTCCTGATTAAACAAAAAAGAAAAAAAAAATCTAACCAAAACCATATTTAAATCTGAGGTGCTTTTAGCTTTTAGGAATGTCTGGGGCTTTTAAAAATGAAAGGGGCTTCATGGCAACATAAACTTTTCAGTTTGTGCTGTTTATCTCCTCCTTACCTCCCTGCTTGTCTCCAGCACCACACTCGGGGACCTTGCAGTGTAATGAGCATCGACTGGGTGCTCAACAGGAAAGGGGAGTGCTGGGCTCTCTTAACCCTCAGCAGAAGCGCATCTGCTGAGTGAGTAAATGAGGCGCCGACCCTAATGAGGAAAAAAAAAAAAACAAAAAAAAACTTTATTCCTTCAGGTTACCCTTGCACAGAAAACACTTGGGTGCTCAGTACAAGCACATGCTCAGCAGCCAGTCAAACTCCAGTGGCCGAACCAGTAAAGGATAGGTTTACCTTTAAAAAATATAAAGTAAATGCACAATTTTTTTGCGGGTAAAAAAAATACGCATTTAATTTTTTTTTCTAGGAGCCTGGAAAGCATTGCACCAGCGATCAGAAGATTCCTAGTGCCATGAAGGACTCCAGCAGACTGTCAGTACTTCGTACATTGTACAGGCAGGCAGTTTCACACGAACAGGAAGAATCAATGAACTACCAGAGCGCTCAACAGTGCCGTGGTAGTTCATTGAGAACTACAAGCTACGTGTCAGTATTCATAGTTGATTCATTCACAGGATTCTGTGAATGTATGACACAGCGATGTGGACGGAACCCGACACAGCCATGTGGGCGGAACCCGACACAGCTGTGCTCTTTTCAAAAAGTGACAGCTAATACAGGGAACTTCTCCCCATACTACTATCACACAGAGGGCTTGGAACGCCAAGCCGCTGCAGAAGTGGGAACATGTCACAAGATCCACCCTAAAAGCGGGTGGGACATGTAACATGTTCCCAAAGGTGAACTTATCCTTTAATCCTTTCACTGCCAGAGCCCTTTTTGTGTTTTTTGCATGTTTAAAAAAAATCATCTTAGGCCTGAAGATAAAACCCCCAAAACATTATAAATTTTCTGAAAGCAGGACACCCTAGAGATTAACCCCTTGGCACCAGTGCCTCCCAGTGCTTTATGGGTTTCAGGAGCCCGGGGGGGGGGGGGGGCGGGGTTTTAGGGTTGTGTGATGTGACCACTGTGTTTCGCGGTCACATGATCGGGAAAGGTCTCGATCGAAAGAGGAGATCGGGACCTTTCCGTGATTACTGGACAAGTGCGCTGGGAGCGCGCAGGGCGTGCGCTCTCAGCACATATGTTTTTCTTAATTGCACGCAACTGTGCGGCCGCTCGGCGTCAAGGCCCAGATGCTGGGAGGCCGCACATTTGGTTAAAATAGTGGTAGTTCCAATTTTTTATGTCACACGATATTACCACAAAGGTCTAAGTTAATTTTAAGGAACAAAAAGGCAATAACTTACCTATTTTTGGTAAAACATAAAAGATGAGGTTGCACAGTAAACAGATACTGAACATGTCAAACCTTACATTTGTGTGCGCTCGTGAAATGGTGAAAAACTTTAGCACCCTAAATTTTCTACAGGTGTCACTTTTAAAGCCCGTATAGGTCATCAGTTTAGTGCTATGGAGGAGGTCTGGTGCTATCATTATTGCTCTAATTCCAGGGTGCACGGCGATATGCAACATGTGTATCGTCATAATTTTTTTGTTTTTACATGTGTATATTTGGGGGGCCTCAACATCTTCGGGGGGGGGGGGGAGGGGTTTATGTGCTCAGGTGTAAATTAAGTAACAACAAAAATTTTTATCACGTAGGGGACAAAATGTCCCCTATGTCATTTTTTTGTGACATATTTCTCTTTTAGACGTCCAGGAAAGACCCTGCACATATCCTCTGGATGTATTGCAATGCAGGAAAGTGGCAGCGGTGAGTCAGAAGTGACATCATACACATCACTTCCCGGGTCAGGACAAGAAGGGGAAAGAGAGCGTATGTGTGTCCGCTCAACTCCTTCCCCCCCCTACTACTAGCACACGCTATATCGATCCTGGGCCTGCAGATGGGCAAGAAGAGCCCGGGATACATGTGGGGGAGGGGGGCAAAAAAAAAAAAAGAAAATGGAAACCTGCTGCTCACCCACAGCAGGGCTAAATGAAAAGAAAAGCACCTGCCGAAGCTCAGAACTACATGTCCTGCGCATCGAGCAATATAAATCACAACCCTGACACAAGCAATAGGAAAGGAAGGGGTAGCAAAGCAATCAGGCTATACTAAATAGCACAGGACACCCCATCAAACTCTGGCAGCTTCCTAGTCAGTACCTTTAAAGTATTAAATCCAAAGGGTCAGCATGTCAGGAAAGCAACTATCATTTTCAGAAGAAGATATCAGCAGTGGGAGCCTCCGTGTATCTCTCATAACAGGGTTCCTTTAAAGTAGAACTACAGCCCAGTGCTAACTGTGCTTAAAAATGTTCCCTCCCTTATCCACATATATAACCTGCCTAACCTGAGTAAAAAGGATCTGTAAAGTTACCTATTTTTAGTCTGCTTTGGTCTGGCAACTTGATCCCGCAGTATTGACTCCCCTTAGTCAGTGGGTAATGGCTGTTGGGAAGAAATGGGTGCACCAACAACAGCTGGCTCATGAGAGCCTATCAATGACATCATGGCTCCTGGAATTCCCAGGTGTTGCTGAGCACACCTTCCTCTCCCCTGCAGCCACAGCTCACTGATACAGAATGATCATGACAGGACTGGGATAGACTAAAAGTAGGTAAGTATACAAACCTTTTTTCACATGATAGGTAGCAGAAAGGGGGGAGAAAACATTTTTAAGCATAGTTAGAGTTAGGCAAGAATTCCACTTTAATCATAGGATGTACCCGTACTTCCTCAGGTTGAAGTGGTTATACCAGTACCTGCAGGTATCATCCTGGTATCAAAATTTTCAGCCAGTGATGGGCTTTACTGTAGAAATGATTCAACTAGCTACCGGCTTATAAAGCATCTGATCAAACCGGTCTCCGTTTGATCAGATCCTTTCTGGGCAGAGGAGAGAACTGGGGTCTAATGGACCCAGATCTCTCCATAAAAAGGACCTATCATGCTTATTGCTATCACAAGGGATGTTGTTCATCCTTTGTGATAGCAATCAAGTTGACAAAAAAATTAAAGGAACAGTGTAAAAAAAAAAAGTTTTAAATAAAATAAATAATAAAATAATTCTAACACCAGACCTTTTGTGTAACTCTAACCTGGTAACCTGTGAAGGCTTTTCAAGTGTCACTTAAGGAGACCTTTAGGTACCGTAGTTTGTCGCCATTTCACAGCGTATGCATGTTTAAAGCATGACATGTTAGTAGCTATTTATTTGACGTAATATCATCTTTTATATTTTACCATAAAATTGTGTTTGTGCACACTAATAAAAACAAATGTGTTTGTAAAAAAATTTTAAACAGCCACCAATTTATTATCCAGGATTTTTGCTTTCAAAAATATATAATGTTTGGGGGTTCTAATTGATTTTATTAGCAAAAAAAAATGCTGACTTTTACATGTATGTGAGAAATTTCAGAATTGGCTTGGGGGTCAAGTGGTTAAATGAAACCTTTCCTGAGAGAGACATGAGGCTGCCATTGCTGCTTCTTCCTCTGCAAGGGCTAGCTTGCTGGCTGTCATATTCATTCTCTTACTTCAATACTTTTTTGGAACCAGCATCTTCAGAAGATAATTGGCAGTGACAGCCCTCACTTGTTTCTCAGACAAAGGTTTCTTAAACTTTGAAAAATATCCTGTACCTGAGAACTTAGAGAAATTCCTGATAGGCATAATGCGTTGCCGAGTCTTCCCTTCGGTCTTCTCATATACCAGGACAATGGCTGGAGGCTCAAACCGTATACCGCATTTCCTGGCCTTGCAGCTCATGGCACCGATAGCCTGTCTCCTTAAAAACCAAAAGATACAGGATTAAAGTGAAGATGATCTATGACTTTATTACTCTCACACCAATCTGGCTACTAACAGGGGTATCCAGGGCAGCCATCAGAACCTTTTGAGGCCCCTTACACAGCTTTAGGCCTGGGACTGACCACCAACATTCCACTGGGCTCACCCACTAGCCATCCCACTGAATCCTTCTACTGGCCATCCCACCAAGTCCTATCCCATGTCCTCCTCCTCCATTCCATGTTCTCCCCCTCCTCCAGTCCCATTTCCTCCATCCCATGTCCTCCTCCTCCAGTCCCATCTCCTCCTCCTCCATTTCCATCTCCTCCATCCCATGTCTTCCTATCATTTTATTATAATGATGGAAAAAAGTGGATCCGTTTCCCCAGGAACCAGTTGGGTTTTGTCTTGTGCAGTATAGGTTTGAATGGGAAAGCTAGAACCTGATTGGATGGCAAACAAAAAAGCCTGTAAAAAGAGGGCATTATTTTGGCTTGGTAACTTACTGTTAGCTAGTTATATATAGGCAGAAGACAGCTCTGCCAACTGTTTAACCTAAGACTCTGATGTCTTCTGAATGGAAACCTGTGCTGTAAAAAATATGGAAGCTGCCACTACTGGCTTTGTATTAAAAATCCAAGATACCTGGATGTCTTTGGTCTCCATGCTTACTGAGTCACAAACCCAGAACAAGCATGCAGCAAGTAATGTCAGACCTCCTGATCTGCATACATTTTCCAAGTCAATGACTCGAAAAAGTATTATAGATATCAGAACAGAATGACAGCCAGGAAATGTCAGCAACAGTCTCCATAGTTTTCTTACTTCAGTTCTAGGTCTCCATTAAGCAGCTGTTAACCTGCCCTAAAAGGACTTAGCCTGCATTTCTGTACTTTACAGCCTGAATTTCGGCTGATTCCTGTTGAATCATCTGACGTTTGAGATGCTGGTGGCCTTGTCGGCACCACCAGACCAGATGAATTTTGATCTGAAAATAAAAGGAGTTGGTCAGAAAATTCTTAGCTAAACAGTGACTGCAGCCAATCAGATGTAGTCACTGTTTGGGTATTCTGAAAGTCACAAGAGCAGAGGGTATCAGAATACAATAGCCAGCAGGGGAGATTCCTCCACCATACTAATTTCTTTTGTTCAGCCTGAATGAGAGAAATCTTAAAAGTGTTACTAAACCCACAGTAAAGCATGCTTGTTATACTCACTGTGGAACCTAAGGGGTTAATCCTCTGTATTGTGTATAAAGGATATTTGATCCTGTCTTCTTTGATCCTCCCTTTCTTCTACTGTCCCCATTTCATCTCCTGATAGAACAGAGGGTTGGGGAAAAAGCTGCACATGCTCAGTTTGAGAGTTTATTTTTACTTGGGAGAGTGCATGTGATCAGCACAGGGCCAATCAGCACTGTCCAGACAGAGGGTCAGGGGTCCTGCAGCCTCCTAGGGGAGAATGAAAACTACTCCTACAAGCTTTAACCAGTGCTCTGCTGGACTGATAGAAGTCACAAGACTGCAATATACTGCTGATTAGAAAAAGGTATTTTGCAGTTTATATTTACTCAAATAATTACATTTCCATGTTCTGGGTACTGAGGGAGACGGATATAGTGAATGCAGGGTCCTGGGTTTAGTAACACTGTAATGTACAGTGCCTTGAAATTTTCCACATTTTTGTCATGTTACAATCAAAATTGTAAATGTATTTTATTGGGATTTTATGTGATACACTAACACAAAGTGGCACATACTTGTGAAGTGGAAGGAAAATGATAAATGATTTTCACTATTTTTTTTATAAATAAATATCTGAAAAGTGTGGCGTGCATTTGTATTCAGCCCCCGAGTCAATACTTTATAGAACCACTTTCACTGTAATTACAGCTGCAAGTCTTTTTGGGTATGTCTCTACCAGCTTTGCACATCTAGAGAGTAACATTTTTGCCCATTCTTCTTTGCAAAATAGCTCAACCTCTGTCAGATTGGATGTAGAGCGTCTGTGAACAGCAATTTTCAAGTCTTGCCACAGATTCTCAATTGAATTTAGGTCTGGACTCTGACTGGACCATTCTAACACATGAATATGCTTTGATCTAAACTAATCCATTGTAGCTCTTGCTCTATGACTAGGGTCATTATCCTGCTGGAAGGTAAACCTCCGCCCCAGTCTCAAGTCTTTTGCAGACTCTAACAGGTTTCTTTCTAAGATTGCCCTATATTTGGCTCCATCCATCTTCCCATCAACTCTGACCAGCTTACCTGTCTCTGCTGAAGAAAAGCATTCCCACAACATGATGGTGCCACCATGTTTCACGGTGGGGATGGTGTGTTCAGGGTGTTATGTGCAATGTTAGTTTTTCACCACACGTGGTGTTTTGTTTTTAGGCCAAAAGGTCAATTTGGTCTTATCTGTCCAGAGCACCTTCTTCTTCCACCTGTTTGCTGTGTCCCCGACATGGCTTCTTACAAACTGCAAATGGGACTTCTTATGGCTTTATTTCAACAATGGCTTTCTTCTTGCCACTTTTCCATAAAGGCCAGATTTGTGAAGTACATGACTAATAGCTGTCCTGTGGACTGATTCTCCCACCTGAGCTGTGGATCTCTGCAGCTCCTCCAGAGTTACCATGGGCATCTTGGCTGCTTCTCTGATTAATGCTCTCCTTGCCTGGCTTGTCAGTTTAGGTCGACGGCCATGTCTTTTTTTTTTTTTTAATTATGTATTTATTACGTACAAAACCAATATAATCATAACCAAAAATACACAATAATCAAACCTTTATTACATTTTCCACAATGCCCACCCCCCTCTTACTTCCTTTCCAATTTCACTATCTTTTCTCTTCTAGTAGTTTTCATTCACTTCTACTAACCTCCTCTTAATCAGATGTCTTCTTATCGTTATATGAACTTTTTATCCCTTATCTCTCATTCCTATATTTCCCTTTTACCTTCTACTCCATCAATTCTACAAATCTCTGTGTAGCTTGAATTCTCCCCACTTTTCCCATATTTTCCTAAATGTATCCATTTTATCTTCTCCACTAAAATAAAGTTCTTCATTCTTATATATAAATTCTACTCTTTTTATCCTGTCTTTTATTCTTGGGACTCTTGGGACCTCCAAAATTTAGGAATCAGCCCTTTTGCTGTGTTAATTAAGTGGGGTATCATTGTGTCCTTATATTATTTCATTGTTAAATTGGTATTATGAAATACACATACCCATGGATCTTTTAATATAATTTCCCTTGTAATCTCAACTATTTGTTGTATTATCTCCTGTGAGAATTCTTGAATTTTGGGGCATTCCCAGCAAATGTTTTATTGTACATGATTTCATGTATTGTTAGCTGTAAACAGCAAGCCCATATGGGAAAAATAAAAATGCTCAATTTTAAGAGAGCTAATTTTCCAAGGCTGAGAGATGCTCTCCAAGACTTAGACTGGGAGGGAATATTGGCATCAATGAACACAACACAGAAATGGGAGTTCTTCAAAAAGACTTTATGTGAACACATTGCAAAATATATTCCCATGGGCAACACATTTTAAAGGCTAAAAATCAAACCTATGTGGCTTATGGCCAAAGTTAAAAAAGCTATAGATAATAAGAAAAGAGCTTTTAATAAATATAAAAATGAAGGAACGCTATCATCATTTAAACATTACAAAGAATATAACAGAATATGCAAAAAGGAAATAAAGGCCGCAAAAATTTAAAACAAAGGACAGACTGCAAAAAGGTAGCAGGACAAAATTCTTCAAATATATTAATAGTAAAAAGGTGCGGTCCGAGCATGTAGGCCCTTTACAAAATAATCTAGAGTGGGTGACTGGGGACAAAGAGAAGGCAAATTTAGTACCGTATATACTCGAGTATAAGCCGACCCGAATATAAGCCGAGGTACCTAATTTTACCACAAAAAACTGGGGAAAAACTATTGACTCGAGTATAAGCCGAGGGTGGGAACACCAGTGGGAAGAATCGTGCCTCATCATTGGTGTCAGTGGGAGGAATAGTGCCCCATCATTGGTGTCAGTGGGAGGAATAGCGCCCCATCATTGGTGTCAGTGGGAGGAATAGCGCCCCATCATTGGTGTCAGTGGGAGGAATAGCGCCCCATCATTGGTGTCAGTGGGAGGAATAGCGCCCCATCATTGGTGTCAGTGGGAGGAATAGCGCCCCATCATTGGTGTCAGTGGGAGGAATAGTGCCCCATCATTGGTATCAGTGGGAGGAATAGTGCCCCATCATTGGTATCAGTGGGAGGAATAGCGCCCCATCATTGGTGTCAGTGGGAGGAATAGCGCCCCATCATTGGTGTCAGTGGGAGGAATAGTGCCCCATCATTAGTATCAGTGGGGGGAATAGCACCCCATTATTGGTGTCAGTGGAATAGTGCCCCATCTTTGGTGTCAGTGGGAGGAATAGTGTCCCATCATTGGTGTCAGTGGGAGGAATAGTGTCCCAACATTGGTGTCAGTGGGAGGAATAGTATCCCATCATTGGTGTCAGTGGGAGGAATAGTATCCCATCATTGGTGTCAGTGGGGGGGGTGGAGGAATAGTGCCCCACCGTTGGTGTCAGTGGGGGGGAGGAATAGTATCCCATGATTGGTGTCAGTGGGGGGTGGAATAGTGCTCCATGATTGTTGTCAGTGGGGGGTGTAATAGTGCCCCATCATTGGTGTCAGTGGGGGGGGGGGGGGGGAGGAATAGTGCCCAATCGGTGTCAGTGGGGGGAGGAAAAAAAGTGCCCCATCGGTGTCAGTGGGAGGAATAATGCCCCATCATTGGTATCAGTGACACCAATGATGGGGCACTATTCCTCCCACTGACACTTGCTGACCCCTGTTCCAGTATGGTGCTGCTGCAGACAGCATATGTGGTTGCAGCAGCACCTAAGCACGGCACACTTACCTGCATCTCCTTCACTCGATTTTCGCAGGGCCGCTCAGCTCCGCCTCC